GAAGATAAATGGCAATCCTGCTTTTAATTTGTGATACTGCACTTCGCAGAAGCGTGTGGGTTCAAGAGCACCAGCATGGAAACAAGCTATGCCACTGTTTGAGCAGCAGAGGTTGTCAAGTGTTGGGAGCAAGGTTCTGCTCTTCCCTCCCTCTTTCCTCTCCCAAGCCACCAATGTTATATCCCCCCTAAGCTAGGCATAGTTATCTGTTGCCCACATTTGAACTTCTTGGGGTTTTTTTTTAGGAGTATCAATGTATTTTGTCTCAGAATTTAAATGACAAAAGGGAAAACAGATTAAGCAGTAGATGTAATTCATAATTCTGAAATGCTGAAGCAGAAACCTTGGAAATTCATCACAAGAAAGTAAACAACGATATCCTCAAGATGTAACAGTGAACCATTCTCACCTTGTATATTTTAAAGAACAGCAATTTCAAGAATACAAGGCATTGGTATAAACTGATAGTAAAAGTTATCACTGGAATTATTTTTCTTCATCTCATATTCCTATTAGACACACAGATATGTTTGTGTTTCATGAATTTTTTTTTTCTAATTTAGTGAAACGTGATGACTTCTAGGAGTCTAAAGCCAAGTGATGGGAAGACAGTGAATGAAGTAATGGAGCAATTTGAAAACAAGTTCTTATGAATGCTTGAAACAAAAGTAGAACTCCATTTAACAAAAGCATTTAAATTTAGAGTATCAGGATTTTAGGACCATAATTAAAATTATTGTAATTAAGTGTGGACTCATTCAGAACTAGTACCTGTTTACAAAGGCAGCTATAAAATTAAGACGCTTGGGTGAAAATTTGTGTTAATCATTCCATATTTTTCTCATTATAATACAAAGCAAATTTCAACCTTTTTCAAGTCTTTAAGGAAACTACACTACATGATTTAAGGGACTGAACTCTGACAAAGAGGCAGGACCTCAAATTCTAATCTCAGTAGAGATCCTGACAAACTCTATAGCCTTGAGTGCATCACAAGTTCTACAACATTCACTTATCTGTTGTATAGCATTATATCACATATAGAGAATGAAAAATATTGATATACATACCCACATGCCACATAATTAATCAAAGATTATAAAACATTTTGAAAATATAAAAGTAAATACATGCCAAATATGAACTCATGTTTTATTTAGAATCATAGAATCATAGAATGGTTTGGGTTGGAAGGGACCTTAAAGCCCATCTAGTTCCAACCCCCCTGCCATGGACAGGGACACCTTACACTAGACCAGGTTGCTCCAAGCCTTGTCCAGCCTGGCCTTGGACACTTCCAGGGATGGGGCATCCACAGCTTCTCTGGGCAACCTGTCCCAGTGCCTCACCACCCTCTCTGGGAAGAATTTCTTCCTGACATCTAATCTAAACCTCCCTGATTTCAATTTATACCCATTACCCCTTGTCCTATCACTACAGGCTCTTGTAAAAAGTCCTCTCCCAGCACCCTTGTAGGCCCCCTTCAGATACTGGAAAGCTGCAATGAGGTCTCCTCGGAGCCTCCCCTTCTACCACTTGTTAAGTTACTGTCACTTACTGTTAAAAGCAGATATAATTTCCCATTTCACTGAAGTATTAATGGAGAAAGCTGTCTTTTTGCCCTCTTCATCTTCCCCTCCCACTTAATCCCTATAACTCTAGTCAGTACAGAGTCACTGACAACTAGCTGCCAGAATTTAAGAACTAGTTCTTCATGTTGATTATGCAAAACACAAAGCAAACAAAAAACCCTACTTACTTCACACTTAATTCCACCACAGAAAACAATAGATAGCTGGGCACGGCCAGAAGGTCATGGCTCTGGTCCCTCATGCCCTTTATATGAAGTTTACATCCTTCTGGTGAGCTGCTATGAGTAGCTTGCAATGTTCAGAGCTATACAGAGAACAGAATTTCCTAAAGTCCTCAGCAAGGCAGACGGAAATCATAAGGTTTAATGGGGTGGGAACATGGTGGAAGGACGAAAGGGTATATGTCCTCAAACATGACAGCAGCTAGCAGCCAGGAGATTATCACCCACACTGTTAAAGCTCTGTGCCGACAGAAGACTATTCATCCATCCACTGTTTCAATCTGTTATCAGAAAGAACCAGTGCTTCACAAAACAGCCTCAACAGCAATGACATGAAATCTGTTTAGTTTCTATTCTCAAAGCAACTAGTAATGAAATAGCAGCTGTTCTTGCTCAAACTTAGCAACCTCTGATTACACATCTTTTTATACATCTGATCAGACAGATATGTAAAAATCTTTCACCATACACGAAACGGCTTCTACTCTATTCAGTATTTCTTACTTCAGACCTGAAAGACATGCAAATCCACACACTAAACCTACCCACTCCCATGTCTCACATGATTATTTAGGAGGATAGAATATCTTTGCTGTTCACTTTTCTTTATAAATCAAATTTCCTTTACTCTGTAAAAAGACCTTGCGGCTTTGGAGTCCACTTCACAATTCGTAAAGTTTAGACATCCATTTAAACTTCTCAAAGCATTTTAATTGTATTACTTCATAATTTCCCTAAAAGGCAAGAAACATTTTCCATGTTTTTCAAGCAAGTACATTCAGAGCAAAACTCACCCCATGTAACTTGGAAACTACATCTGAGGTGGTGGCCCTGGCATTCCAGTGTAATGAAGAACTGTGTCTATTCAATGCAGGTCTAAGAGCTTAAGGCATAATTCATGTGGTCAAGGTAGATGTAATCTTCTCCTTTAGGAGATCTATTTCCCAGACTCACCAAGGATCAGGCATGGAGCCTACAGTGCAGACATCCATATCCAGTCAGATGAGACCTGCTTCTACGCACATTCACACTAAACACGTTGCCTCTGTTATAACGCAGATAAACTCTCTCCCCTTCACCACAAAACCTTTACCTTTACACCTTAACCACTAAATTGTCACATTTTACTGAACTAGGATCAGGAGAAGGTGGATTTCACTTTACATATACCAGTGACTTGCTAGATAGCTTCTCCCATTTGTTCATTTTCTTCATGTACAGGTTTTCCTTTTCTGCTTCGGGAAGCTGATTTCAGAGGTAGGAGTGTTCCCTTGCTGTTCTTACTACACAACCTAGCATAATTCAGATCCTTTTTTGGGATCACTGCATGTTAGCATAATGAAAACAGCAAGTAAATAGGAGTACTGAACGATTCTTCTGCCTCAGGCAAAGAAAACAAGCGTTCACACCCAGGCGAGTTTAGAAGCAATCATTATTTCCTCTGTTCAGACTCTCAATCATAGCTAAACTGAATTTGAAGAAAAAAATGTGTTATTTTTATTAATCCTAGCTGGCATTAAAATTTAACTGCCTAGATGTATAATGTGCTTGGGTTTTATCTCTAAATCTATTTCCCTGGTTTGGGCTTTATGATAACCAAAAATAAACATTCCAGAAAAACCTTGGAATCAACATGCGCATGAAAAAGAAAAGGAAAAAAAATACACATATGACACTGCCTATTTTAAATAGCCTACGTTATTCCATCTTTACAGTACTGTGCATAGAATAGAGCGACAGTAGAGAGAGTTAAATACTTCCAGAAGGCAGTTTGGACCTCATATTAAGACTAATTACTTTGTAAGTAATTCTAGCTCTATTCGCTTTGAAGATGACTACTTGTCTTCAACCTTTATGCCAGGAATAAAAGCACTACTCGATTAGCAGCCTCCAGTCAGGTGACCTGAATCTCTCTCCTCCTTTAACGGGGATTAACTCTCCTCGCGTTAACAAGGACTTGATGCCCTTCAGCAAAATATCAGTATGTTCGTTCTTTTTGCCCTGCCATCTCCCCTTCCCCCCAATGCCCTTTTTTTTTTTTTTTTTTAATATGCTAGGTAGACCGGCTATTCGTTTGGGTTTTATAAGCCACACATTTTTTCCTAAAAACTTCAGTTTTGGTAAAAATGTTTCAGCATGTAACAGGGAATTGGAACATTCCATTGCTCAAGTTTATCACAAGCAAAAATTTGCTTAAATTATTGACTGTCATAGAATGTTTCTGGTTGGAAGGGACCTTTAAAGGTCACCTTTAAAGGGACATCGTCAAGTAGATCAAGTTGCTCAGACCCCTGTCCAACCTGACCTTGAATGTTTCTGGGGGTGGGGAATCTATCATCTCTCTGGGCAACTGGTTCCAGTGTTTCACTACTCACACTGTAAAAAAATTCTTCCTTAAACCTAGTCTGAATCTACCCTCTTTTAGTTTAAAACCATTACCCCTGGTCCTATTGCTACAGTTCCTGCTAAAAATTCTGTTCCCATCTTTCTTATAAGCACCCTTTTATTGCTGGAAGGCTGCCATAAGGTGTCCCTGGAGCCTTCTCTTCTCCAGGCTGAACAACCCCAACGTTCTCAGCCTTTCTTCACAGGGGAGGTGTTCCATCACCCTGATCATCTGTGCTGCCCTCTTCTGGACTCACTCCAATAAGTCCACATCTTTCTTGCACAATAACTGACATTGCCCTGGAGGACTGCTAATCAAAGGAAAAACAAGAATATTCTATTGTTCAATTTGCAAGAGGAAAAATGTTTTACAATCTATGGAATAGGGCAATAGATTTTGGTCATCATTTTACTACACCACTGATTTATTTGAGCATGTAAATACAGATATTCATAAACTAAATACTTTCCACTGTTTTTGTCTATTTAAAAACAAAGACACCAGACAACGTTTTAGGCCTTGAATCTTCTCTCTTTGTCTCAGAAAGCAATTTAATAAAAAGCACTATCTCTGTTATAGTGGTTTGCCAAAAAAAAGGAAAGAAGTAAACAAAATATATGGTTTTTCTGAAATTGCATTATGGTATTATGTCTCACTTTGGTTCTTTGAGTTGTTTTTCTATGGTTTGAAAGAAATTATTTCCTAGAACTACAGTAATAAAGGCAGTTATCATATTCCTACATTACTTCAATACTATATTAAATCTAATACTTTAGCTAACTATAGTGAGATAAAACTTACCTTAAAAATCAAATCCTTTTTCCCATAACGAAGTTCTTTCAGCTGGGCTTGGATCTTTTTTGACTGGAAGGAAGGATAATAAAATCAGAGTTTTCATATGCATCAAGGAAAATGTAAACTGGCAGTCACCTAAAGAACATACATGTTAGTTAGTAGAATTGTGAATAACTGTTCGGCTTACACATCCTAGACATGAGATGTTCTTAATACTTTCAATGAAGCATAACTGAAGGCATCACCTTCAACAAAGAATTTTCTTTTTTAGTGGGAAAAAGTTTCCATAGTGTTGCATAGGTTCTTCTTTCAATGACCAGGGAGTTCCAGATAGTATCCGAATGAACTACGTGCTCAGTTTGTGACCATGTCCTCTAAAATAGGCAGTTATGCTGATATATATCAGTTTAGGCTATTATTTATTTTGTAAACTTTTGTACAATATTTATATTGTAAAATTTATGCTGAAAATAATTTTAAGTAATGTTTAACAAAATATAATTAGAGTTTTTTTCATACTACACACAACTATATCACTCTTTATCAAAGTAATAATTTCCTTTTATTACAATCCACAGTCTCACTGATGTTCAGTAATTTTTCTTGCATTATATAATACCAAACGTTTGGAAGTCTTTGGAATGGAACAGAAGTCTATCCCACATTTACTGACACAGCACATCCGTAAACATACCGTACTACAGACGGTTGTATACCTTTCATAAATTGGATCCTTTAGAAAGATTTGATGTCTTTCCAATTGATGTAGTCAAATTCAATGACAAAATTTTGGAAAGGATGAATGAATCTAAAGATAAAATTTTAGAACTTCCTTTAAATATTTAAAAAGTAAGGGTAAATTGGTTATTGCATTCTGTAAAATTGGAAACAAATAGCCAAGATCAGTTCACTTCTTTCTAACGTAATTGCATCTACACAGCAGAACATCTTAGCTGCCTGCACTCCATAGACCTGGTCGCTGAGCTGAACAATGCAATCAGTAGAACTATGGAATATATTCCACACCTACTAAAGACCAGTGAGAAAACCTTAACCAACTTTAATTGTTCTGGGAGTTGTGCCTATGAAAGTGCACAGTCTCTGTGACATACAAGGTAACCAAAACAGCTATAGAGTAACTGAAGTGTTACAGTCAAGGTATCACTCATTTGCCGAATCACAAACCTGTGATAAAATTAAGAGCTATGAAGATAAATGTATGCAGTATGTAATATAAGTGACTCAAAAACACATATATGACCTGTAATCCTGATAAAATTTGGTTGTTTTGTGGGTTTTCTGCACCTGTAGGGAGGGGCTATACAAAACCTTTCAGTGCAGTCAGCCAGATAAGCACGTCATTAGACACAGGCAGTTAACAATCTCTAAACCACAGCATCTGGGAATATTTCCCTGGCATGTGCCCCTTTTTCTGCTTCCTGGGAAGCCCAGCGTTTGCACCACCCTGCCTTCCTCTCTCCAGGATTCGGAATTCTGGGAGAAGAAGAGCCAGCCATGTAACCGGTACAGGATCACAAGCATGCTCCCCGGCTACGCAACTGGACAACAAGGAATCGCAGGGTTCACTGAAAGTGTTTGCTTGCAGCCTGAGAGAGCAGAACGAAGCAGGATCTTCCTGGTAGGCAATTCTATCCATGAAGGGTATTTAATTTAATAACTAAAAGAATACTGATTTCACAAAGTTGTTATGCTCGCTGAGCACAGTACTTGAAGAGCAGAAAATACATTGCGTTTCTTTGACTGACACCACCTAACTGGCAAAACAACAACAAAAAGATGTTTCTGTAGCACCTTTGCTTGTTCTAATGGCACTAACCCACTTAAAAGCAACAACTTTGCCAGGGTGATTCATAAAGTCCGAGATTCTTAAGGTTTAAAATACAGTCACAATCTGCTGCTTTGAGAGTTAGCTGGCTTATGTTTAGTTTTCTGAAATTTTCTGACAGCAAGACTTGTTGTACTATACTAAATTTAATTTTATCTTAGGCTTCACCCTTAAATTTAAAAACATTTATGTTGCAAATATTAAAGGAGACATAATGAGGGAAAAAAATCTTCAAGTTAATTACCAAACATTGAAGATGTTATGCAGCTAGGAATAACAAATTTGGAAAAGCAGGGAAAACAGAAAGCTATGTTGCACACACTGCCATTTTTTTTAGCAGTAAACAAGGAAAGAAAATTTATTTGTATTCATATACTGTGGCGTGTTTGAAAGGAACAATGGTGACATAGGAAGATAACAGATTTTGACAAGCTAGCTAAAAAAACCAAACCCAAAACCTTATTATTTCAAACCATTGAGGATTTCTCAGAAAGAACAGGTGCAGATCTTCAGTTAAGGCTAAATAGCTAATATAACTAGAAATCAATACTTTGACCTCTTAAGTTTTGATCTCTAAGTTAAAAAGTAGAGTCATTAATGAAGAAAGCATACTCAACCATAATTATGAAACTTTTAGACAAAAAGTGTTACGCCACTGTTTCATTCTGGCAAGGTACAGTGACTTTCACAAAAGTTATATATGCAAAAAACCTATGATTCAAGTCATGTAAATGAGTAGTTAGATTCATGTATAGTAATGCCTTCTTTCATGAAAAGTTAAATAGCTAAAGGGACTGCTTGCATGAATGCAATTACTTGTACATTTATGTACTTGCAAATAAATAGGACTTTTGTATCATCAACTATCTCTGTTAGCTCCCTTTTCAGTAGGGGAATTTCTTTCCCTGTATTTTGTAAAGTGACCCTTTTTTTTTTTCCTTGAAGTAATGAAAAATTCTAGGAATCAATAATAATAAATCTTTCTGTCTCTATACATTACATTTAAAAGGCATTTAGCTATTATTCTATGCATGGGGATGAGGGACACGTTAGAAATATATAATGTGCTTTTACAGAGCGATACATACTCTTTTATAAGCATGGCCAAGCTTTATTTTATTTCCCTAAAGCTTGAGTTTGCAGCCTGTTTCTAATACATTTGAGTTGCTTCTATGAACGTCAGAGATATAAACTGAAATGAGAGTGCTTTAGGAACACTCACCAAACACACACAATATATAACCTATACCAGAACCCGAGTAGAAGACTTTGACATAAGCTTCTTTTGGGTTTGTTAGATTTAAAATAGAGAGGAAACTTACTTACCTCTTCTGCGTGAATACCACAGAGCTTGTTTCCTGACAGGAGCTTGTTTTTGAGGCTTTTGTTCTGAGGGGGTGGGGATGGAAAGTAGAGTTTTATTACTGAGAGTTACTGAAATATTAAGGGACCCTTTAAATATTTGATCATACTAGTTTTATTTTATACATGGATAACACCTTCAAGTCACCAGCAAAGACACAGATAAGACAACTAGATAGATGCATCATGGCACAATATCCTCTCTTACACAATTCTAAAAGGCTACGACTTTACATTAAAACCTGTTTCCACAGGAACAGGATTGCACATAGAAACCTTCCAAAACACTCTAGCAACCAAAAGCAATGTCGATTGGATGTGCTGAGGTGAAAAAGGAAAGAAGAAACCCTCTAATTCTTACCTGCTGTCAACTGCATAGCTCAATATAATTTTCAGTAGATCATTATAACAACGGAGTAATAGGGACAAGATTGCATCACTCAACCTTGATGATCAAACTCATGGTGTCTTTTTGCTAAATTCCATAATTTAAAACTGAAAGTAAGCAAAAACTTTAGAAGGTTAGCTACCTGATAGCATTTTGCCAAGTCAATACGCTTTTTCATGTAGGAGTTCTAAAGGTATTGCTTCTCATTTTCAGGGGAAATAAAAAAACTTGATAAAATGAATTTTCAACAGTCTGGTAATTCTTTCTTCACTCCTCATTCATATTATCCTATAATTAACAGTCAAGGGTAAAGATTTCTCTGCAGTGTGGACATCTTTCAAAACTGTTCAGAAACATAAGCATCCTATAAGCAAATCTTCAAGTGCTGGACATAACATGTTTCCACTAAAAAAAAATTAAAAGAACATAAAAAATAACTTTTCCTGTACTAACAAACTGTAAAAATACCTATAGAAACCTAGCAGATGACATTTCAGGATGCATACGTATTACTGAAGAGCAATAGCTTTTTTGAATATTATGCATGAGAACCAACTGGCATTAGAGAAACAAAAGCAATTCCATCCAGGACATCAGTTGAAATTTAGTTCTGCATCCTACTGAAACACTGGAAGATTTATTTCCAGAATTAGAAGCTTGGATTTTTTCTTGAAAAAAACCTTTCTTCTTAAAGTGAGTGCAAAGAAAATAACATTCCATTTGAAATCTCCCTTGCACAATTCCAAAATAAGGATATGACATCATTTCACACTGTTGCTATCTACCATGCACCAATACACACCACTGCAGAACCAATAAATCTTTTCTAGCTGCTTGACATGGGTGCCTACTCTTCTGTAATTCAACAAAAAGGAATCAGGTTGTTACTTTGAATGAGACAACCCAGATTCTGCCTCACAAACTGGGATTTGGAAAGGGCTGGATGAGGGGAGGAAGAACAAATGCTGTTCTCATAAGTCTCACAGTCAATTACTTTTTGTTCTTTATTAGAAAATCATATTACAACTCATCACAGAGCAGCACCTTATTGCAGAAATACAGAACGGGACAACTGGCTCCGCATAATGGGAATTGGGTAGCAGATGTAAGATGCACAAAGAGAAACCAAAGAGATGAAGCACACCCAGCACACCTACTGCTCACCAGGGTGCATCTGAAGAGCTATGTTGTACTGTGATCACACAGTAGACGTGACTGGTTTCCCATATAAGATACCACCACCTCTTCAGGTGATGGCCGAACAGATGTGCCAAAGGCACCTCTTTATTAGGGAGTTGCACTTAATTAATGCAGCAAGTCATCCCTTTGTTTTCACTAACTATCTTCATTATCGTCCAGTACCCTTTCAACCTGGCAATGCTTTGTTTCGGTAACAGACACTATATCCCTATTTCAGAATCAAAGTATGTGTGAGTTGCCATCCTTACATTTTTACCCATTTACCTTCCTGTTGCCAAACAGAAGCTACTATAAGAAATACCGTGATTATACATTGTTTGCAAGTAACTTCTACACGTGCTGTTTTGAGAAGGCCCTGCAGTAACCCAGAATGTGAAGAACTGAATGCCTATCACCTTGAAAGGACACACTTTCTATTAAACAGTTGCCACAATTTCCACTTTTTGTGCCAAAGTAGCCTGGCAAAAGAATATAGTTCAAAATCAAAATTTAGTGAAAACATTTCAAATTAGGAGTTGGACTCCATTTTGGAGATTGAGCTAGGTTTAACAGGATTTACCAATACTGTCTCATCACCCAGTCTACTAGCAACAATAAACCTCAGGGTTACCAGAATCTAGGCAAAACAGTCATGATTTAATCTGCACTGAATTTTCTAGAAATGAGAGCAATCATTAAACGTTACAATTATCAAGAGCATAATAAGTAGGAGCTTGTCAGAGGTAGATTACAACTTCTTGCTTACAATTTGAGTGTTTATGTTGCTTAGCAAATCGCATGTCACTGTCAAATATAGCTTTGCATCCTGATTAATAGTGATAATTTTCTATAGCAGAATGTGAAGTATGCCAGTAAAACATGTGAAGTATAATAGAGCCTGATTTGATTGGGTTGCTGAATTAAATGTTTCAAAATGAAAAGTCTGATCAGGCACATATTCTGTAAGTTTGCTAGGACAGGCTATTCAAAATGAGATAAATAAATCAATGAGATTTTTAGGTTATGAGAGCTTGTTGAGTCAGGACAAAAGTTTTGCCTTCTAATTCTCAGATAAAGATTCAAGATCATGCTTCTTATTTTCCTATTAAGCAACCTTTAAAGAACAAGAATAAGTAAGTTAAACTTACTAGAATTATACAGATTTTATTTCAAACATTTCATTTGTTATGAAATACTCGAACGGAAAATGTTTTGGACATTTCAAGTTTAAAAGCCAATAAAAGTTTAAGAAACTAATTAAGTATCTGTAAACAAGCCTTTAATAGCCTCTTCTAAAATTATATAGAATAATGATTTTAATTAGACATGGTCTTTTGGATTTAGAGAAAGAATACCGTTATAATCAAATTAAACAGGTATTTTAATGTAGTTGAACATCTTGGAAAGCTTATAGCACAAAATGTTAGCTGGAGTAACCATACCATTAAGCCAGGTACTGTAGCATCTAATACTTAATTTACTAAATCTTTTAAGACATTTGCAACAGTAATGCCACTACATCCCTAAATTCACGATCAGAAAACTGCTGTCCGTGGTTGCCACATGTGAAGGAAACCTGATGTAGCTTCCCATGAAATTTATTCTTACTGTCCTGGTACCTACACTCAAGAAACAGCACCACATGTGAGTACAGTGTTTATCGGTGTCCTCCAAAGAAGTGAGAACTCTCAGTGATATCTTATTAGAGTTGTTAGCATGTTCTTCACTGAGCTTCCATACCGAAAATAAAAAGCTTTCTGCCTTATTCCTAAACAGATTTGTCAGTCAGCCCTTGGGCATTTTTTTTTCCTTTCTTCTTATACTGACATAACATTCACATAATTTGAGTTCTGATTTTACTTTCAATATGTGAGACCAGGCTTGATGAAAGCTGAATTCACCATGTGAATACTGACAGTAACCTTATATTTAGGTGGCCTGAAGATCTCCCACCGATATAAAAGCCCAGAGAAGAAGCTGTAGTGTCATAGTTGTTTTGTCCGTGTGTCTTAGGAACCTGAGAGAAAAAAAAACCCTTTCTCACTGGCTAGAGGGGTATATATTAATTTGTGTTCCTAACTTTTGATAATAACCCCTTCCCTTCTGTCATTAATTCTCCTGAATTGAAGGCTGGTAGCCAGCAAAAACAATCACCAAACATCTGAAGAGATGCACCGATACATTACTATAAAAGCAGCAGTCCCTTCCATGACAGACTCAGCACATCACCTCTCCCAAGAAGAGGGGGAAGGGGAAGAAAGAGAGAGATGCGACTACCTTAGCACTCTTAGAAAATAGTAACCATGATGCCAATAGTCCTTCTTTTTCATATTCTTAGAGCATTTTACAAACTTTTATCTCAACAAAATTGAGGTCTCCTTCTATTTCCTATCTCCTTCTCTATACATTATCAATTAAAAATAGCTGAAAGATGTGATTTTTTCCTTTTTTTTTTTTTAAACTCTCAACTCCCTATTAGAAAAAGACAGACTTAAAAGAAAAGCTCTACAGAAGCCTTTTTATAATTGCTGTTTAGTTTCTTTCTTTTCTGCAAATTCATGTTATTAAACTAATTCATTATAAAGCTACATATTGTATTTTTCATAATATCCCCACGTCATTAGGATATACAATAAACACTTGTTAACATTTGTCACATTGTTAAATGTGACAAATGACCCTGGGTCCCATTTAAAGGGGTTTATCATCACTGTAAATCTGAAGATATGGAGATTAGCATTTATCTGATGTATCACATAATCTCCTTACAGGAGGGTAAAATTATGCCGCTGATGTAAAAGGCACAGATTTTCAGATGTCATTTTCTTGAAGTTAGGTTATCATGACCTCTGGCCACACAGATGTGGGCTTTAATACTCTTATGTTTATGTTTCATAATTTGAAACAGCTTCAAGACCTCAACCTAGGATGAACAAACTATACAAGAAGACATCATGAGTACAAAACAAGTTTAGTTTGGCTGCTAGCCTTTGAAAGCATGAGGACACAAAGTATGTTCTAGGGAAGAAAATCACTGTCTCCCTCAGAAAATTATTCTCAGCAATCAACTTCAATTCAGACATTTTATCTGAGGTCTGACAGCAGTTGTTTGTTGTATACAAGATAAATATGGCTCTGCCACTCCTTGATGAATAGCGCAAATCAAACCATGCTGAGCCCCTGCTCATCACTGAAACATTTCTCTTATGGGAATCCTATTAAAAAAAAGAAAGGAAAACAACGCAAATCCAAGAACAACAAAAAAAAGTGTGAATTCTGCTCAACAGCAGTGTCAAGGCCAACTGCCAAGATGAACTGTTTTCCATCTCCTGTTCAACCAAAGCGGTTCACTGCACCCTTAAGGAGGGAAATCAGAAGACAGCAACAGACCAAAATCAAATATCTGGACTTATCTGATATCACAATGTATTGGTACCCGTTTTGCTTTGGATATTAGCTT